ACATTAAATGCTTTACTTAAAATAGCAATTGAAATATATGCAGATCATGAAATGGCAAAGTGCCAAATAATGTGCAACAAATTGGTTCATCTATTGCAGAAAACAAAAAAAGCACATATTAAAGGAGACATTAGAGGCACTAGAGACCAAAGAAGGGTGACCTGGTTGCCTGGTTTGTATTGAACATTGTTATTCTCTTTTAGGGAGAAAGCATAATCTATTGGGTATCTCAGGAGTCAGGAAATTCTGATTTAAACATTTCTGTGGACTCTTTCTCGACATAGCACTTTACTTCCTAATGAAATAAAATAAAATAGGGTGATTTATCTCTTTGAGCTAAAAATAGAAGTCCTCTGTTTTGAGGACTTAGATTTTATTAGACGTTGGTCTTAGAGCCGTTTAAGCTTGGGACAGAATTATTAGTAGTAGAGAACTGCCATCTAATACTTTTTGCCTTTGGAGGGTTTGTTTACATTTCTAGTCCTGAGCAGTACTAAGGTTAAGGTTTTAATGGGTGGCTTGGGTTATATAGTGTTCACTCTGGAAGGTATTTAGTCTGATTGCCTTATTTTATAGATGAAGAAACTTTGGCCAAGAGGGGTTAATTATCTTGCTTGAGATCGCATGATTTGTTGCAGAGCCAGGACATAAATTTGGAACTTTTGATTCTTTTAAATCAGTTCTTTCCCCCAACAATTTCATCTGACCTTTCCAATTCTGTTTAATTCTGAGATATGGACATGGCCACATACTAGTAAATGATTCCTATAATGCTATGTTGCCACTGCATATATTAATTATAAATAATAATGATGATAATGTGCAATGTTTGTCTTTATTTTTTCAAAACTTGCATAGCTTATTGTCTGCTACTGTTACTTTTATTTACAAGTGATTGGGTTGATTGGCCAGCCCATCTATCGTTTTGAATAAAATGTTGTTAGGCAACTTACCATTCAAAACTTGAATAGCAGGTTTGGGGATAACTGGAAATTTGAGTCATGACTCAGGTTGTGTTTTGGTGTTCTTCCTACCACATTCTTCCCTTTTGTGGTCAATAATGCTTCCAATTTAAACTTGTTAACTTGACTCATTTAAATTGTGGATCCTTTCATTTACCTTGACCTTTCTCAGTTGGATGTACTTGAAAAAATGGAAAGGCTAACAAGCAGTGGGTGAGAGGAAGAAAGTAAAGAAAAATCTTGAGTAATCCATAAATGTAATTATCAACTTTTGAATACAGCAAGAGTAAACTATACTTAGCCTTATGGAATTTTAAATGCCATAATTATAATATTTTAAATAGGAAAATAACTTCATTTTCTGTTTTACCCAAATTAGCATGAATATTATTTAATGCCTTTTATCCTGTGTTTTTCAGGGGAAGAATTTTACATTTATTTTCCATTTTAAGGCTTCTAGTTTCTACTGTGTTGTGTTACTTTTGTGCACTCAGTGTTAATATGTGATAACTGTATTTCCATAAGAAACTTACAGCTTTGATCATGGTTGATTAATTATTTTTGGTTCAGTGTAAGGAAAGGGGAAAGTAGAAGCATAGTCTTTTTTTTTTTAACAATTTGGGACTGGTGGAATGGTTTCTTGGTGATATGCCTTCCATAGTCATTGTCATTTACTCAATGTAGTGATTCTTGACCAGGGGCAATTTTGTTCTCCAGGGGATATTTGACAGTGTCTGGAGATAGTATTGACCGTCATGACTAGGAGAAATCCTACTTATATCTAGTGAATTGAGGCCATTGTGCATAGACAACCCCCACAATAAAGAATTACGCGGCCCAAAATGTCAATAGTGCTAATACTATCATGTATGGGCAGTTGTAAAATGAAGTTTATTGAATTAAAAAATACATCCATTCTATTACTTAAGCCTAAGGCTTTATGGATTATTTTTATATATGTATTCCATACTAATTTGATGACTCCTAAGGGAGAATTTAGCTCTTTGCTCATTATGATTAAAATATTAAAACAAAATTTGGCAATGCTTTGATTATAGGTTAGTATACTCAGTTGAAATTGTATGTTAATAATCAAATGCTGATCAACAGCAAGATTCAGTGTTCTCATCTTATAATTCCCTTTTTCCTCAAGCTTTTCAGCTTCTTGGAATCAATATTGTGTATCATTAGCTGCAATACTGCCACTCACATAATCAACTATTTGGTAAACTTAATTATCCAGATGTCTAAATCTGTAATTAATCTTTATGATTGTATCCTACTATATGCTGCTTTTTTATGCTAATTTTTTTTTATTTAGGTCTGAGATACTAAATAAAATCTGCTGAATCCAATAGCTAGCAAAACAGTCCATTGTGCAACAAAGCTGGGGTAGCTCCATTGTTATGCATAAATGTAAATTATAATAGAATTGTTTGCCATATATATGTCATTTCTAATCCCATTTTATACTTAAAAAAAATTTCTGTTAACCTGATTCAATTTGGAAAAAAACTATGTTTTAAAAAGGAGATAGCAATTTTTTGGGGGGGGATGTGAAGGATGGAAGGGAGATGGCTTATAAAGGAAGAATATTGAAAAGCACTTCATTGCCTTATGATCACACAAAAACTGGTAACTTATTGAGTTCTCTTCTTACATTTTTATAAATGCCACCATTATCTTGAAGATTAATGGTTGACTATATCTGATACTCTTTATAGCAATATGTACTTATTCGAAGAACGGAAAGCTGAAATAGTTTTCTTCCTTTTTATGTGGTGTTTTTTTGTTTTTGTTTGTTCATTTGCTTTTGGTAGAGACTGGGTCCTGCTATGTTGCCCAGGCTGGTGTCGAATCCCTGGCCTCCAGCAGCTCTCCCGCCTTGGCCTCCCAAAGTGCTGGGATTACAGGTGTGAATCACTGCTAGTGGCCTGTTTTGTGGTTTTAATTGAATACAACCTGCTAAACTTTCAATCTAAGAATTTTATTTGATGTGACATACCTGAGAGGCTTTTAGGATTTGTAATAATTTTCTTAGTATTTGTGGCAACTAGAGTGGAAGCAAATTCTAGGTAGGTTTAACTGCCAAAGGGTTTGGAATTAGAAAACATGATTTTGATATGGTTTCTGAGTTTTGGCATAAAAAGTTGCTTTGAGTGTTCCCTTAGTAGTGGTAGCATTCCTGTAAGTCAGAAATAGCCTGTGCTTTACCAAGCAGGAGGCTGCCAGCATGTGAAGTTAGTTAGTACCTGATAGGTGAGGTGAGGTTAAGAAGAAATAAAGAAGTAGTGATATAACCAGAAACTGGGTGGTAGTGTCAGAGAGGTGTTTAACATGTGTTTCAACATGATAGATCTACTGTATTCTTCTGTTTTTAGAAGAGAAACCCAGAACATTTTGTACCCCCAACATCCCTGCAGTAGTTTTTACTTGTAGCAGTTCTGAATCTTGGCAACATATTAAAATTATCTGTAGAGTTTTAAAAAACTGCTAATGGACATACTTCACTGCAAGCAAGTCTAAGGTAACAGACCTGGGCATTAGTGTTAAGAGCTCTGCAGATAATCTAACTTGCAACCAAGATGAGGAACCACTGCTTTATAGCAGTGCATTAGAATTTCCTGCAGGGCTATGTATTAGATCCAGGTTAGGGCCTGAAAATTTGCATTTCTAACAAGTTCCCAGTTACTCTAACTGGTAAGGCATCACATTTTGGGAATCACCATGAATGCAGTCTTAAAAAAAATCATTTGAGTGTAGCTGAAGGTCTGACTGTTACTCTTTTTTGAAAAGTAATTGCTGGAGATACATAATTGGGTTAAAATTAAAGAATAGCATCATGTATGTGGTTCCTTTTATGCTAAAAAGATTGATATTTCTGTATTGCTTGCATTTTTTTTTACAATTAGCATTTAAATATATATTTTTTTGCGATAAGAGTTTTGCTCTTGTTGCCCAGGCTGGAGTGCAATGGCACAATCTTGGCTCACTACAACTGCCCCCTCCTGGGTTCATGTGATTCTCCTTCCTCAGCTTCCTGAGTAGCTGGGATTACAGGCATGCGCCACCATGTCTGGATAATTTTGTGTTTTTAGTAGAGATGGGGTTTCTCCATGTTGATCAGACTGCTCTTGAACTCCTGACCTCAGGTGAATCGCCCGCCTTGGCTCCCAAAGTGCTGGGATTACAGGCATGAGCCTCCGTGCCTAGCCTTAAATTTTATTTAAATATTTTCTTGGAGGAAAAAGCCACATAATAACTAAGAATTGTATGGTACTTAATAGTTTAAAAAGTTGATCAGTTTACAATTACTTTTTGAACTATTTAAAATAACTCATGGTTGTGCTTTTTTTTGTGGGGGGTTAAACCCCATTCTTTGAGAATCCTTCAAATTTCAGATTTTGTGTTTTATATAGTCTCTTTAGGTATCTTAATGGAAGTAGCTCAAATAAAAGGATTCATCTGCATTCAATAGAAATTTTATGCATGTTCAGTTTGGATAGTTTGTTGTTAAGATGGAAGGAATATTTCCTTTTTCTCTTCATAAATATGCTGGGAAACACAGAATTATACAATGAGAATAATGGAGTATGTGGAAACAGGGAGAGACAGTGCTTATGGGTTGGGGTAGTGTTGGAGGAAATGGAACTTTCCAGGCTTGGAAAGAGAGCAGCAATAGCAGGAGGTGGAGGTGGCCTGTGACCTCTAGGAATAAAGGATCAAGGGGATGGATATGATAGAGCTACTGGATTTGGGAGCTTGGCCAATGTCACAGAGCGGTTAAATGACAGAGTCTATTCCCAAATTTGGATCTCTTGAGACTCCTGAGTCCATTTTGTTTTCTGCAAAAATGTTAGAAATATCAGTTCTGATGAACCAACTCTGCAACAAATGGAGTAAGTGATTATTTTGTGACAATAATGGATCCTGAAAAAAGTCTCTAGATGGTGTTGGCTTCTTTGCTGCTATATTCAGATATTGAAAATGTGTGGTCCTGAAATGACAGCTTCCCATGTGACTTTCTATGTTTTTCAGAAATCATCCTCAGCCTTTGATCACTGTGCTTGAACACAGACCTGATTGCTGGCCGGTATTTTTGCAGCAGCTGACAGCTTTCTTCCAGCAGTGCTCTGAAAGGTAATGCAAAATAAAACAAGGGAGGAAGACAGAATGGTATATGCTAATTTCAGAGCTAGTTTTTTTTTTTTTTTTAGCTTCTTTGGATTATAATGTTTTCTCTTGAAGAAATGTCCTAGAGCAGGTTATAGTTTTCTATTTAAGAGTAAAAGAAAAAAATCTGCCAGATTTATTCATTGTTTAAATATTGGAAAGAGAAAAGCTGTTATTAAAGACTTGAAGCATCGGTAAGCGGTTAGGGAAGTTGGCTAGAAAAATTCAGTAAGCCACTACACAATACATGTAGGAGATAGGTTCTTCCCCCTTGAAATTGGCTGATGAGTTAGTCTCTCCATTAGAAACCTACCAATTGGGTAAAATACTACTGCCAAGTGGGATCAAGTAGCCACTATATGTGCAGTTAGCATACTTTCACCAAGGCCTTCTGATGATCCTCAAAGCTACTCCCCTTTCTTCTATCCTTACTGCCATGGCACTGGTTCAGGGCCTCATAATCTCTTGCTGTGGTTCCTGCCACCTGTTCCTAATTGGTATCTTTGCCTGCATTCTTGTCCTGCTCAAATCCATTCTCTAATATCCCTCAGAAAGATATATCAAGAGAGCAGATCTTACTAGATCACTCCCGTACTTAAGTCTCTGTGGCTGTGGTTTTCAAACTGCACTTGCATTGCGTGGGCTAAGCTTGGAGGATGTGCCTACCCTTTCATCTGTTTTCATAGCACTTACTTGTTGATAGCTTATGGAAGCTTTCTATGGAAAAACAAAAAGGTTTGGTTTCTGAAATAATTTGAAATTCCCCGGACTGCAGGATAAAATCTAATATGTCATAGTAGCTTAGTATATGATGTAGTTCTAATCTGTCTCACCAGCTTTATCTTTTGTTATCTTCATCCCACAGTTGATGATTTAGCAATACACTGACTTGCCTTGTGTTCCACACAGGAAGCAGTGCTGTTTCCTTCTCTCCATGTTTTTGCTTACTGGTATCTACTGTACTCTCTTGAATCTTACCCCACTCTCTTCCTGATAAATTTCTTTATTTGAAATCTCTATTTAGGCATTTTTTTGCACTAGGGTCTTTTCTTACTACAAGCTGTATTAGGAGTCTCTTTTGCATGGTTGCGTAATATCTTGCAGGTGTGATTTCTAACGTCATTATTCTTATAACATTCTCATAATTACTCTCCTCTATTGATGGTGAAACCTTGAGGGCAGGGACTGTGTTTCATTATTCTTCGTGTTAATAATGCCTGGCACATTTCTAGGTTCTTTATAAATGTTGAATTTCTTTAAAAGAGGGCCCTGAATTAGAAAGGCTCAGGTAGTGGTTTGTAGAGTACCTTACAATATGTAACATCACTACATACTAAGTACCATCACACAAAGTCATGATGAAGATACCATTATTCTGGGGAATGCCTGAGTTACATTCACCACACCAGATACTTTCTTGCTTTTGAAGGTTTTATAGTATCCTATAGATACAGTTTCTTAGAACACTCTTTTCTAAGTCCATAGCTTCAATTTCACACAGAATTTCTAGGTTGGATGTACTGCCACTGGAAGTTTTAAAGAGATATAGCAGACTTTGTGTTTTAATCAGTTTGGGCTGCTGTAACAAAATACCATAGACTGGGTGGCTTATAAATAACAGGAATTTATTTCTCACAGTTTTGGAGGCTGAGAAGTCCAAGATCACGGTATTGGCAGATTTGGAGTCTGGTGAGGGCCTACTTTCTGGTCCTCAGAGGGCCATTTTTTTCTGTCTATCCTCACGTGGTGGAAGAGGCAAGAGACTTCTCTTAGACCTCTTTTATAGGGTCACTAATCTCATTCATCAGGGCTCTATTTTCATAATCTAATAATCTCCCAAAGATGTCACTTCCTAATATCTTTTGGGTTGAGATTTCAAAATATGAATTTGGGGGGACATAAATATTCAATCCATAGCACCTTGTAATTGGCTGCGAGTGAGAAAAATTTATGTAACAGTTGAATGAGTAGCTCAAAATGAACATCATCCTGTGTTCCCTCATGTAGGATTGCATTTTCAAAGGCAAGGCATTAATATTTACTAAGACTTTGTTCAACTCTGTCAGAAACTAACAAAAAATCCAAAGAAATTTATAAACACATTTGTTTAATGAAATTTCTCTCTGTTGCTAAATAAATTGAAATGCTTTATAAAAGATGTGCTGCTGCCATGCCACTTTCATTATTGAGCTCATTTATAGGTTAGTTCTTAAGAATGCATTACTTTTCCAATGCCTTACTTAGTAAATAATAAATGTACTGTTGTCTACTTTTATCTCAAAGGTGTGTTATAACTGTGACTTAGAAGTAGTTATTCTAACTTGTCCAGATATCATGATGAAAAAATATTATTAATTGACTGGTTTACTGATTGATAATCTTTTATTGACTCATTTCTTTTCCTTAAGTTCTTAGGTGTTAGCATATGCTATCTGGAGCCATCTGAAATTCTAAATTATTTTGTATTTAATTGCAAAGAATAATTTCAGTATTCTCATTTCTACTTTTGCACTATGGGATTATTCCTTGCAGTATGAAATTAATAATTCTGGCTGCAGACTTAGTTTCCTAAGATATAATTTTAGGGCCAGTTAACTCAGACTGTTGTTTGGAAGGTAATAGAGCTACTCAGGGTGCTGAGGCTTGAGAAATACTTGAGCCCAGGAGGCTGAGGTTGCAGTGAGCAGAGATTGTACCACTACAGTTCAACCTGGGTGACAGAGCAAGACCTTGTCTTTAAAAAAAAAAAAAAAAGAAAAAAAAGTATGCCGGGCGCGGTGGCTCATGCCTATAATCCCAGCACTTTGGGAGGCTGCGGCGAGTGGATCACGAGGTCCAGAGATCGAGACCATACTGGTCAACAAGGTGAAACCCCGTCTCTACTAAAAATACAAAAAAATTAGCTGGGCATGGTGGTGCATGCCTGTAGTCCCAGCTACTCGGGAGGCTGAGGCAGAATTGTTTGAATCCAGAAGGCGGAGGTTGCGGTGAGCCGAGATTGTGCCATTGCACTCTAGTCTGGGTAACAAGAGCGAAACTCCGTCTCAAAAAAAAAGAAAAAGTAATGGAGAAGGCAGGTTGTTAAGCATATGAGTAGTGATTCACAACTATGGGGAGAAAGCAAAATGTTGTTAGGATAGCTAGTTATTTATGTTCATTTGTAATACTATGTATATGTCCTATAATGACAGTGTGTCTTCATGCTAGATTTTTTGGGGGATATTACAATTATTATTTTTAAGAGATTGGAGTCTGCTATGTTGCCCAGGCCGGACATGAGCTCCTGGGCTCAAGTGAACCTCCTATCTGAGCCTCCTGAGTAGCTGGGACTACAGGCATATACCTCTGCACCCAGTATTTAGTTATTATGTTATAATTATGTTCTGCATTCATTTATTGAAGGCCTGTGATGTTAAGACTTCACTTTAACCTTTCAGGAACCGAGAATTTGAGAATTGTGCAAATTGATAGTATCATAGATTTTAGGCCTGGATACTTTAAGATTATTTGATCTAATTTTTCAGATGAGAGAACTGAGGAGAGCAACATTAAGTTCATCATAAGATAATGATCATAAGATCATCATCATAAGATGATGAACTTAATGTAAAGACTTGTGTGTAGGTACATAAACAATTGGTTACATTTTTTTAACATTTTAAATCACTTTGGGATTTCAGATTGTCTGTTTTATTTTTAATATTCCTTTTTTCCTAAGCCCCTGGTAATTTTCATACTTACTGAAGTGATCATCACATACCACATAGGAAATGCAGAATCTAAAATCAGAACAGATTAAGCAAAGGGGATTTTTAAATAGTATATTGTCCTTAAGGAAGTTCAACTTTGCTCCTGATGTCAAATCATAATGGCATCTTGGAAATGTATTTCTTTATCTGAACCTTACATTTCACCTTCAGCATCTCAAAGTAGAAAAAAACCGATAAGCTGTTCATGGATGCTGTTGACACCTGGGTAGTATTTATTCTTTGGGGAATACATTATTAAAGAGAGATGGAGAAGGAAGTTTCTTAAATTTCTTTTCTGGAAACTTTGACTTCGTATTTCATACATACATAATCTGATTCTTTCACCTATCTTTTTTTAGTTTTCTAAAGTAGAAGGTGTGATAAAGATGTATGTTTCAGTAAGAATTAAGAACTCAAAAGTTCTATTGATTTTTATAGATTGTATAAGTATTCGAGCTTATGATAAAAAAAAAATTTCTTCAGACTGTGAGCTCTGCAAGAGCAGGAATTTCTCTATTTTTATTTCTTGCTTTGTTTCCAGCATGTAGATGAGTGACTGGTATACTGGGTGGGCAGTAAGTTTTACCAAGTGAATAAATGAATGAACGAATAAGATTTAATTGGCTTGGTAACTTTCACATTTTTATTAATGTTAATGGCATTTTGAAATCACATTGCTATGAAACATACGGTATTTTAAGATTATGTCATCAACCATGATTTATTTTATTCCAATTTAAAAAATTCTTTTTAATTTTCTATTTTAGTTTCAGGGGTACGTGTGCAGGTCTGTTTGAAGGGCATATTGTGTAGTGCTGCGGTTTGGTCTTTTATTGATCCTGTCACCCAGTAGTGAACAAAATACCTCATAGGACAATTTTCAGCCCTTGTCCCCCTTCCTTCCCACCTCTGGAGTTCCCCAGTGTTTGTTGTTATGATTGTTATGTCTGTGTGACCCAGGGTTTAGCTCCCACTTAAAAATGCTAACAGTCAAGTATAATTTAAATACCATTTCTTCCATGAAGTAATTGCACTTTATACCATTCTTTTGTCAGTTTTTACTTTCTGTCTTCTAGTTGAGGATCACAACTGATTGTCTCTGTTAGACCATGTGCTTCTTGAGGATAGATAATTCTTATTTCATCTTTGTATCTTATCTAATCATTCCTTACATATAATAAATGTGAAAAACATTACAAAATAAAACCATGATATTTAATTGCATGCTAATCATAAAACTACTCTGTAACTTAGTATAACTGAAGTAATTAAATAAGCATCTCTTTGAAGGCCTAGTATATACAGTTATTGGTGATAATAGCAGTAAACAGAAATCTATGGCCTTACTTGGTGTATAGTCTGGCAGGGGATATAGGTATCAAATATGTAATAATAACAGCCTGTAGTGTCAGCTACTTGGGAGACTGAGGCAGGAGGATTACATGAGCCCAGGAATTCAAAGCTGCAGTGCACTATTATTGTGTCTGTGAATACCCATTGTACTCCAGCCTGGGCAATTCAGCAAGACCCTAGGAGAAATGCCTGATGTAGATGACGGGGCAATGGATGTAGCAAACCACCACCGTGGCACATGTATACCTATGTAACAAACCTTTATGGTCTGCACATGTACCCCAGAACTTAAAGTATAATAAATAAAAAAAAAAAAATAGCTGGGCATGGTAGTGCATGCCTGTAATCCCAGCTACTCAGGAGGCAAGGCTAGAGAATCACTTAAACCCAGAAGGCAGAGGTTGCTGTAAGCTGAGAATACACCATTGCACTCTCCAGCATGGGTGACAAGAATGAAACTTCATCTCAAAAAAAAAAGAAAAAAAAGTAATGACAATAAAGCATTGTACCATAAAAGCACATCTCATGTTATCTGATCAGGGTGAAGTGTCAAGGAAGGACCCGAGAAAGTAATTTTGTAGCAGATAACGGAAAGACGATAGAAACTAGGGAGGGAAAGCAACAGGAAGTGTAGAAGGGGAGAATATTACACGTAGAGGGAATGGCAAGTGAGAAGAAAGTCCAGATAGATGGCTTGGTTAAAGACCTGAACAGAGTTGAGTGTGGTTTAGTGGTGAATGAAGAATAAGAAGTGAAGATGGAAAGATAAACAGAGGCCACATGATGGAGAGTGTGTGTGAATTGGGCTAGATACTGTTTAGGCTGGCTAATGACATGACCATATTTTCATTTTTCATGATCATTCTGGTATTTTAGTGACTTTGGACTAAGTGTTTTCAGGATATAATAAAATATAAATAGGTACAAAAGGTTTGTAGGGTGGGAAATGCTTAAGAGCTTAAGAAGACCTTGGCAAATTACTTCACCCCTCTCTCCTTCAATTTCTTTGTGTTGTGGGAATAATACTGTTTTTTATTTCATAGGGTTGTGGTGAGGACTCAATGGATTTAAAGACATAAAATGCAGTAACTTGAACACTGTAAGGGTTAAAATGTTAAGTGTCATCATAATCATCTTGGGATGTTTGTCTGGGTTTGTTTTACGTAGCTCCTCACCTGTAGAGTTTATCCAACAACTCATGTTTGTATCATAATCCTGGAGAGGTGATCCTGACATCTGTAATTCTAGAAAGGTTGTCAGGTGATTTTTTTTCTTTTAAAGACGGAGTCTTGTTCTGTCTTGAGGCTGGAGTACAGTGGTGTGATCTCGGCTCGCTGCAACCTCCACTTCCTGGGTTCAAGTGATTCTCCTGCCTCAGCCTCCTGAGGAGCTGGGACTCACCATGGCCAGCTGATTTTTGTATTTTTAATAGAGACAAGGTTTCACCATGTTTGCCAGGATGGTCTTGATCTCCCGACCTTATGATCTGCCCATCTTGGCCTCCCAGAGTGCTAGGATTACAGGCATGAGCCACTTCACCCAGACCAGATAATTCTTATGGTCAGTAAACACTGATTTTGGAGATGTAGTTGTAATTCATTGTGCAAATAGCTCTTCATCTTGGGCATGTAGCTTATAGTCTCCAGGTGTTGAATAATTGTTCCTCAGTGTACAAAGAACTTTTTGGCATTGATGTAGGCAGGTCATAGTGGAATAGAAGAATCTTAAAAAGAACTTACACTTGATGATATGGTAGTTTGTTACGTCATGAACTATTAGTTGTTATTTGTCACTTGTCTGCTTGATAGTGTGTTTAAGTCAATGACTGGCTAATGTATTTCATGTCTTACAGGTCAGAAATTTCATGCATTCAAATAATGGCACCATTTCTGTGGTATCTGTATTGTGAACCATCTCAGTTACAAGAATATGCTAAACTTCGACTAACCCTGCTGAAAGTCTTACTTCAACCCCGGGTTCTTTGTGACAAAGAACAACCGTCAATACTGGAACAGCAGATACTTCAACTTTGTTGTGACATGGTTCCATGTTTGCAGGTAAGGTCTTTGTTCTCTTCCACAAATCTAGCATCAGCATCAGTTAAATGTTGTTATCATCATAGATAAAGTAGTTCTAGAATATATGTGATTTGGCAAACTCAGACATGATCCTTATTCTAGAAATGCTTCAAATCTTTTTGGGGAAGATGAAAGAAACAAAATACAGATTTAACATGAATATATTATGTTCTATGTTAATTAATAAAAATTATAAATCAACATAATCCATTTTGGGATTAGCAGGCATGAAAACTTTCCTTCTCAGGTAAAAGATTTTGAGTTGAGTTTCTTTTCTGTAGACATTGAGACAGAAACAAGGAAAAAAAAAAGACCTGTGTGCAAATTGAAAATAAAGATGTGTCTCAGGGCATAAACAGCTCTGAGAATGCAAAGCCTGGCCAGCTGATGAGTACCAGCTAGATTCCGGTTTCCACATGTACCCTTACAACATATGCAGCAGCTCTCATATGTGTCCTTCTCAAGAGGGATACTCCTCTTGAGAAGCACACATGTAGTAAATGAGTTAGGACAAGTACTGTATATATATTCTTAGAAGTCAAAGTAGAAAGATGAAAGGTGATTAACATAGGTATGGATAAAACACAGAGTTCAGGGGAAAGAGAAATTTAAGTAATTGTGTCTGTAACTGCATATGAAAAAAATCCAGTTGCTCAGGTGTTGTGGTTTTAGTGTAGTGATTCATTTATCAGTCTGTCTCTTCCCATCGTCTAGGTTTGCTATTTGCCTGGAATCTGAGCACCATGCTGCTTAGCCGATGGAAGGAATCTGTGAACATATTTCAAAGTGATCACTTGAGGTTACACATGACCTGCTTTAAGTTTGTGTGTTAGCAAGGAGTGACTAGAGTAAATCTTTCTTTTGTGACTCATAAATAGGCTTTCCTGTAATCAAGGCAGAGAAAATTTAATTAAAATGAATTCTCCTGTGGCTTTTCCAAAGCTTTTGTTTTGTGTGGGCAATAAAGCAATGTATAGGCAGACTGTCTTGAACTAGGGTACATTTTTTCACACCACGACTGTATTACCCTGTTCTGTGCTCCTTGACAAATGTTTGTCTTCATCTTATAAACCTGTGTTGACAAGTTAAATGCTTTTAGAAATAAGCTCTATGGAATATTTCTGGGAATTGGCTTTTTAACCTAACAGTCATGTGAGAAAAAAGGGATATATTCTTTGGAACTACTGGAACTAGCGACATAAGCATACTTAATCAGTTTAACAAATGGGCTTATTAGAATGAAGTGTGGGAGGATTGAAAGCGGTCTTAGAGATTATATAATCCATTCCCCACCCAATATACTTGTTGCTTATACTCTCTGAAACATGACTATCTCATGGCTAATTGAATATTTTAGTGATAGAGGAAGCACACTATTTTGCAAGGCAACCATTTTTTTTTAGCAAGTACTTATTGACCTTCATTTTTTGAATTACTTACTCATTTCCATTCTTTTCAGAACATAATGAAATAAGGTTTTAAGAAAACCCACCTGTATCCTATTTTGTCTTGTTTTTCTCCCTTCTTTCCTTCCCATTTTTCCTTTCTTCCCTCCTCACCTCCCTCCCTTCCTTATTTTTTCTTGACTTTCTTAGTCTCCTCATTGCAAATGATTTCTGGATTTTTCCCTGTTTTGTTTTGCCAGGAATTTTCTAGTTTTTTGGTGCTCAAATATGCTACTATGAAATGATCTTCTTAGAGCTAGCTACAATGCTGTTGATTTATACTGAGCACGAGGATAGAATCACATTTAATTTTAGAAAACAAGTTTTAGAAGTAACCATGCAACCCTGTTGACCTATGATGAAAGAATGGTCAGTGAAATGCATATTTCTTTTTTTTTTTTTTTTGAGACGGAATTTTGCTCTTGTTACCCAGGCTGGAGGGCAATGGTGTGATCTCGGCTCATCGCAGCCTCCGCCTCCTGGGTTCAGGCAATTCTCCTGCCTCAGCCTCCTGAGTAGCTGGGATTACAGGCACACACCACCATGCCCAGCTAATTTTTTGTATTTTTAGTAGAGATGGGGTTTCACCATGTTGACCAGGATGGTCTCGATCTCTTGACCTCATGATCCACCTGCCTCGGTCTCCCAAAGTGCTGGGATTACAGGCGTGAGCCACTGCGCCTGGCCCATGATATGCATATTTCTATTGCTTGTGCCAGATGCACTTTCATTTTATATTTGTAGAATTGTCTTTTTAAATTTAATTGTGACTCCTGTCATCTCACACATTACCTATTCTATTAAATAATATATTTGTACACAAAGAATGTTACTTCAAAATTATTCTTGTCTAGAATTTTGATAATATTAAATATTAGAGAGCCTTTAATGCTAGCTTGCTGAGGTTGCCTTTTGGATTTCGATTTTTTTTTGTTTTGGAAAATTAGAAATGTGTACATAAATGCACCTAAGGAAATATTTTGTCAAATAAATATTAGGCTTTGTCTCTTCTCTGTGGCCTTTTGACTTTCCTACTGTATGTTTGTAAGAGAGCAAAATAATTTATACCAGATTGTTTATTTTTATAACAATATTTTCTTTTTCTTCTCTTTGATCTTTTAATATCTTTCTTCTCTTATTTGCTAGAAACTAATTTTTCTCTCTGTGTATAACTAATAGTCATTTGGGTTATTATGGTGATAACCACTGGTGAAAGGTACAGCTGGTCAACTGTAGGCTTTCTTCTTGATGAATTTAACAGACACAAGGCGCCTGATTGAAGCAGATGGTCCATTGTTTATAATCTCTGGGAAATGCCAATGTGTCTGTGAACAGGACCATATCCTTAATACCAACTCCAGAATTTTGATCAGAACAGCTGGGTTTGAATTGAATTGGGATTTCAAGAGTACCCAAGTCCTTCCTATCTAATACATTAGCCTGTTGAGAAGACACTCTACCATTTGAATATGGTGTTTTACTATATCTGCCAAGTGTGGAAGTGATACTCTCAGTTAAGGCTGTCTGAGCAAATATCTTGCAGATAAAGGGCTTAGTAGCATGTTAAAATATCTATGTTGGAATTGTAGAAAGGAGAGTTTGTTTGGAGAATTCAAAACCAAACTCAATTTCCCCCAACACATTGGCACTGTCATGTAATGTGTTTTAAGACGTCTGTACTCAGAGAAGCTAGAAAAATGAAGGATTGAGTTGTGTAACTTTTTTCATCTCCTTTAAGTCTTTATGAGTTTAGAGAAAAACTTTTATTGTTGAAAGCTTCTTGTGTATCTTCAAATTATCCTTCAGTTTATGTATTTTTAAATATCATATAATGACTTTTTTTTAAACAGATAAAAGATTTGATGCAGACAACAGAAGCAATGCTGTTTATTGAGGAAGTATATTTAAGCCTTTTGCGTCATCCTGCTTTCTGGAAAACTCAGCTTATCCAACTGACTCTTCAGCTGCTGTGTGTCTGTGAAGTCAGCTTAAAGATAACTGGAGAATGTTCATCTTTAATTCACCTTTTAGAGAAAAGTGTTGAACTCCTGAAGGAGGTAAGGATAGTAGTATATTATACTGTTCATGCATTGTTATAAAGAAATACCTGACACATGGTAATTTATAAAGAAAAGAGGTTTAATTTGGCTTACAGTTTGGGAGGCTGTACAGCATGCATGGTGCTGGCATTTGGTTAGCCTCTGGGGAGGCCTCAGGAAACTAAAAATCATGGTAGACGGTGAAGTGAGACCCAGTACTTCACATGGCTGGAGCAGGAGAGAGAGAGAGGAGAGGTGAGATGCTACAAACTTTTAAGCAACCGGATCTCAATCACTATCACAAGAATAGCAGCAGGAGGATTGCCCTAAATCATTCATGAGAAACATCTTTGTGATCCAGTCAGCTCCACTAGACACCACTTCCAATACTGGGAATTACAGTTCCACATGGGATTTGGGTGGGGCCACAGATCCAAACCATATCAGATAGACATTTTAGTATGTCAGTTATCACTCATGTGTTTTCAGTAACTGGGTGGATGTGCTCATTCAGTTTGCATATCCAGGCATTTTGATCTAACACCATTAAAGCATACTGCTACTGCATTACTACTAATACCCTTTACAAGAAAAAGAAATCCTTAAAATACTCTTCAGAGCATCAATTAAAGATCACCACTCTGACTTTTTTTCATTTATTCATGCAGAGCACAAGTATTGAATATTTACTATATGCCAGGCTTTATGGAATACATAGATGAAAAGGTAAATTTTGTGACCTCAAGAGACCGACATGCCAGTAACTAATTATAGTACAACAGAAAAGATTTTGTGGGATTGTGTTTAAAGTGTAATGGGAGCACAAGTTTCAGGAGGTAGGGCATGAGATGAGATGTGAAGACTGAATGGAATGTGCCTGGTATAAGGGCCTGAAGGGCATTCCAGCTCGAGTACAGCATGTGCCCAAATAAAGAAACATGAGAGAGTAGTAACAAAAGGATGTTAAATATTGTTGAAGGATTAAGGTGTGGCAAATAGGGCTGGGCCTGTCTTCCATGCCACACAAATGAGTTTACATTTTATCTTCTAGGTAATGTCATGCTGTTTGAGGCCTTTCAGCAGATCTCATTTTTTTATGTGTGGAAGATCTTTCTCCTAGGAGGGTGGAGGAGAGTTTGGGGCAGCACACCACTAATACAGTAGGAAGTGAGGAGGATGTCTTAGGCAGTTAGGGCTGCCACAGACTGGGTGGCTTAGCCAACAAAAATTTATTTATTGGTTGGGCATAGTGGCTTATACCTGTAATCCCAGCACTTTAGGAGGCCAAGGTGGCTGATCATTTGGGGTCAGGAATTCGAGACCAGCCTGACCAACATGGTGAAACTTCATCTCTACTAAAAATACAAAAAATCAGCTGGGTGTGGTAGTGCACACCTGTAATCTACTCGGGATGCTGAGGCAGGAGAATTGCTTAAATGTGGGAGGCAGAGGTTGTAGTGTGCCAAGATTGCACCACTGTACTCCAGCCTGGGCAACACAGCAGTACTTTGTTTCAAAATACATAAATAAAATAATTTTTTTTCTCAGTTCTGAATGCTGAAGCATCTAAGCATGGGGTGCTAGCCGATTCTGTTCCTGGTGAGGACTTGTCCTGGCTTGCAGCTGGCTCTTCTCACATAGTAGGGGGCGTATGAGCTCTCTGGTGTCTTTTCTTTGAGGACACTATCCAGATTGGATTAGGGCCCCACCCTGATGACCTAACTTAACCTTAGTTACTTCCTTACTCAAAAAACAGTCACATGGGATTTAGGGCTTCAACAAATACATTTTGAGAGGACACAGTTCAGCCTATAGCAAGGGGCTAATGAGGGAAATGGAAGTGGGAAAAGGGAGACACAGAAGATAGAATCAGTAGGGCTTTATGACTGATTAGACAGTCAAGGAGAAGAGTCCGTTGATAGAATCTCAGCTTCTGTTTTTGGCTACTGTATGATGCCATTTGCTTTGAGAAATGGTAGCTGATGTTGGAGGGAAAATGATTAATTTGATTTCAGATATGCTTGGCTTGAAGTATGTATGGATCCTAGAGAGTTGGATATATGGTTTTGAAATTCAGGCTAGAGGTCTGGGCTGAAGATGTACATTCGTAGACGTTAATTTTGGGGTGGGGATTTTAAACATGGAACTGGATGACAAGGCTTGTGATGGAACTCTGGGGTGGTTGTTATTTGGAATTTACTGATAAAGAGGAGTCTGAGAAAATGTCTAGAAAGATCATATATAATCAGCTGAGACAGATGACATGAAAATCAAGGGAAGGACTATCTCAATAAGAGGGCATGGTCAAGAGTGTCATGTGTCATGGACTGATGATATAAGAGTAAGAGGTGGAAAGTATTCTCAGGATACAGCACATAAAAGCTTATTGTTAACATTGGAGGGAGATGTTTCAGCAGGCAGATGGGGGTGGGGATGGGGGATGGGGGTGGGGAAATTGGAATTAAGGGAGTGTGAATGGCAGGTGAGAGAATGAATGTAGGTTTTGATGGAAGATGGGAGCCCAGGAAGACTCAAGTATTATAAGTCACTCGTCAGTCTTATGATTAGAATGGTTTTACATATACTGGGACTCTAAATAACACCTATTCTACTGTATAGTTATCTATCTTATGTATAGCAGATATATATATAAAATAGATATCAGGTATAATATCTGACAGATAAAATTATGCTATAATATAGATAGTATATAAATGTTTATAGATGTTTTATAGATAAATATTATATAGAAAGATATAGATCAATATTTTATAGATAAATTGCCAGTTCTGTTACTGTAAATATAATATCCCTGGGTAAATCCCGTATTGTTCCTGGGTACTTATGGTAGATTCATGTGAGTAGCAATTATAATTTCATAGGGTTTAGTCCTTTTTAGTAGAATTCTCTGACCATTTTGTTGTATATCCCCCCACCCTTAGCATATATTTGTTAAGCAGATGCCTATGACAAGCACTTTGCTATGGCAATTAGTTGAAAACAGACAAGGTTCATAAAGCTTATGTTTTAGTCAAATGGTTCAAACTCGTGTGCATGAAAATCATTAGGGAGAGTTTATTCATAGTGCACATATCTGGGGCCTTATCCCTAATAATATTGAATTAGCACGTCTGAGTGAGGCCCATGCATCACCATTTAAAATTCGTACCCACAGGTGATTTTTATCATTTATTTTGCACATAAAGGAAATAATAGCACATAGATCAAGACATAGAACTTTGAAACCATCACACAGATGAAGAAATAGAAATTTCTAGCCACCACAGGAGTTCGCCACAAGCCCAGTCCTAATCATAACCTCCTCTTTCCCCTATCTTGACTTCTACAGTAATCACTTCCTTACATTTCTTTCTAGTTTTATCATCTCAGAATGTTTCCCTAATCACCATAATATGTTTTCATATATGTGTGTGTATTAGATCTTTTAAGTGTCTTTCCAATTAAAGGTTATCCTCTTTCGTTTCCTTCCCCACGTTTTTCCCCTGCAGTTTATGTACCGAATAACCTGGCTTGTGTGAGTTGGAGAGTTTCCTATCTTCTGGATTTTGCTGATTGCATCCATATGATGCACTTGAATGTGGTAATCCCCAGTGCCTGGGCCACTGAGGTGTTGGTTTCTGGCCCACACACCAGGAGGTGAGCAGCCAGTGAGCCAGCATTACTGCCTGAACTCCACCTCCTATAAGATCAGTCAACACATTAAATTCTCATAGGAGCATGAACCCTATTGAACTGTGCATGCAAGGGATGTAGGTTGTGTGCTCCTTATAAGAATCTAATTAGGTGGGACACCACCATGTAAACTCAGGTAATCACCATGTAATTACAGGATTACCGCCTGTAATCTCAGCACTTTGGGAGGCTGAGGCAGGCAGATCATGAGGTCAGGAGTTTGAGACCAGCCTGACGAACATGGTGAAACCCCATCTCTAGAAAATACAAAAATTAGCCGGACCTGGTGGTGCGTGTGTGTAATCCCAGCTACTTAGGGAGGCTGAGGCAGGAGAATCTCTTGAACCTGGGAGGTAGAGGTTGCAGTGAGCCAAGATCTTGCCACTACACTCTAGCCTGGGCATCAGAGTGAGACTGTCTCAAAGAAAAAAAAAAAGAATCTAAATAATGCCTGATGATCTGTTGTGGGACTGTTTCATCCTGAAACCATTCCTTGCCCATTGTGTATAGAAAAATTATCTTCCATGAAACCGGCCCCTGGTGCCAAAAAAGTTGGGGACACTGCTTTAATGCGTTTCTCTGTTCCAAGGTAATTAGCTCTAAAGCATTGGATTCAGGATACTTTGTTCTTTGTTTCCAAGACTGCAGGGGGTGGTGTGTTATGCCATCAAAAGGCACAATGTATGTATGTTGTTTTTCTTTTAATGATGTTATTAGTTGTTGATACTCAATGCCTAGTTCTATTAATTCATTAGGAGTTGCAAAGTGGTATTCTAATCCTGTCATTTCTTCTTCATTTATTAGCTGGAATACTTCCATAAAAAGAAACTCTCACCCTCCACCCACAACGACCTATTCTTTTGTTATCCAGTGGTAGAGTTTAAATAGGAGAGTTAGGGTAAAATGCTTTACTCTTCTCCCTTTCTCTTCATTTACTAATTCTAAAAAGAATGACTGTGAATTCATGAATTTAAATGTACTCGATGCATTTCAGTCTATCATAGATATTATCCTTATTCAATGTTGAACTGTCCTACTTTGGCCAGGGGGAATCTCTTAATAGATTGGCTCTTGAGTCTAATTTTTAAAATATTCTTTATTATAATGTAGAGTTACTGGATACTAATGTCATTTAGAAAAATGAAAAGATTTTTGGCGAGGAAAGGTTCTAATTATGTCTCTCATTTGCCCAATATTTTGTCAATTTTAGAAGGAAGTAACAATTAGAACTGTTGAAATATTTGTGTAATGAAGTTTTTTGTGCCCCATCCCCATTTTAATATTCCTGAGGTTAAAAAAACTAACCCTAGGGAAATTAATTTGCAAACATATCCTTTGGGCCTATATGTACTATAATTAGAAATAAAATGACGTAGAATGAAGCAGTCTTATGTATTTTGAGACCATACCTACATTTCTGTATCACTAGGTTTATCAGCTGGATGTTTTGTTCAGATATTAACTTTTTTCCCACTCTGTTCTCTTTCTACGCTTATATCAGAGTTGTATTACTGTATGTTGAAAATGTATTTATTTTTTAGGTTGCTTTAGTTTTTGTGGATTTGGTCTTAGTTGAGCCATTTTTAGCCTGATTTGAATAATCATAACTTAAGATGCTTTCCATTTCAAACCAAATAAATGTACCCTGCACTTCAAAATGAGGCCGAAATAATGCTCACTCAGAGAGATTGAGTAGCTCTCAAAGTGAAGAATGAGTGAAACATTCCAACATTGGGAAGGGTCAGAAAGAAACTTGTGGTTTCTAAGACACTACTAGCTGATGACTCAATTCCAGCCACTTTTCTTCACTGTGTATCTCAGGTTAAGTTTTCAGATTTTGTAGGAAAAATGATGTGTTTGGTTCATTCTGGCTTGATCAAGCTCTGGCCAGAGGAACAAAGTACGTAGTAAAGTACGTAGTAAAGATACGGCACTGGAGGATTGTGTGAGTTGGGCCACCATCTTAGTTTTTTCTGCTACCTTCTCATGCATTGTTTTCTCTTTAAAGATAATTTTCCATGACTGTACTGTAAAATTCTTGAGAAAAGGGACTGTTTTGTCCACAGTGGCATTTGTAGACCCAGCATATCTACTTAACGCCTGGTACATAGGTGGTGTTTAGTGCTATTTTCATTTGAATTGAGGACCAAAACTATGGATTCCAGGTGTTTTCTGTTACTAGGACTTGTCCAACATCTGTGGCTGAGTATAAAGGCATTTACTCATTTTTTGTGTTTTATTTTTAAACATTTCCTTATTTTACATATTTTATTTCCTTATTTGTTTTATTGTATTTTATTTATTTATTTTCAGGCTCTGAGTTAGCCTGAGTTTCCCTAAAGGCAAAAACAGAGCCTGGGTTCCCACAAAAGCAAAGGCTTATATGATTGGCGTTTGTCTGCCAAGGTGATCCCAGCAAGCACTTGGAGAGGGACAACAGGAGTGAAGTATGGAAGGAGGGAGAGGCAGTACAGGCATTATCGAGTAGGCTACTGCTATGAATAGTCAGTTGCTTGATCCCACAGAATCAGTCTTCTGAGAAGCCTTACGAAAGAAGGATCCAGAATTAATGGAAAAGCATTTATTTATGGGGTACTGTTGCTGATTTGTCCAGCTTTGGCCTATGGGGCTTTAATCTCTTTATACTTCTAGAGTGCACTATTCTGGGGCAGGAAGCAAGAGATGCATGATGGGGCCTGAGGAGAGAACTATTAGATTGCACCTGTGCAGAGCCAGTTACCACACCAGTAGCTGTAAGATTTGAAGTGTGCAAATGGGATGTATGACACAAGGCTTGTGTAAATTAGTTCAGCCATTTTGGAAGACAGTGTGGTGATTCCTCAAGGATCTAGAAATGGAAATACCATTTTATACAGCAATCCCGTTACTAGGTATATACCCAAAGAATTCTAAATTATTCTATTATAAAGACACATGCACACGTAATGTTAACAGCAACAATGTTTACAATAGCGAAGACTTGGAAGCAACCCAAATACCCATCAATGATAGACTGGATAAAGAAAATGTGGCACATATACACCATGGAATACTATGCAGTCATAAAAAAGGATGAGTTCGTATCCTTTGCAGGGACATGGACGAAGGTGGAAACCATCATTCTCAGCAAACTGACACAAGAACAGAAAAGCAAACACCACATGTTCTCACTTATAAGTGGGTGAGAACCCACTGATAACAATGAGTTTATATTATAATAATGAGAACACATGGACAAAGGGAGGGGAACATCATACACTGGGGCCTGTTGGAGGGTGGGGTTGCTAAGGGAGGGATAGCAGGGAGTGGGGGAATTGGGGAGGGATAACATTAGGATAAATACCTAATGTAGGTGATGTGGGGGATGGATGCAGCAAACTACCGTAGCATGTGTATACCTATGTAAAAATCCTGCATGATCTGCACATGTACCCCAGGACTTAAAGTGTTAAAAAAAATATTAAATGGTCTCATCCTTTGGTGTACATTAAAAATCAATCAATCAAAAAATTTTTAACTACTTAAAATTGTAAGCAATTTAAGATTTGTGTTGTCTAATCTTCCACCATTTGCTTTTCCTTATTTTGGTCTTAAATCTCTATCTCTTTTCCTTTCACCCTCTCACCCTTCCTGTTCACACACACACACACACACACACCACCCATATATATATGAACAGGCCAGTCCCATCCTTCCTGTTTATATATATACTTTTAAGTTCCATCCACTTAATAATATTTCTGTTCCATTTCAGGACTCTAAAAAGCTACTTTATAGCCTGCAGTAATAGCTTGTGTGAAAAAGGTTTTCCAATAATAGCATTACTATATAGCAGTGCTTTCATTTGTCATTGATCCTCTTGGAATCCAGTGAATCTGAGGTTTAAATGATCTTGTTGGTTTTCCTTTTTTTTTTTTTTTTTTTTTAAATGAACATGCAGAAATTGAAATGAAACTGAGGGAGATATAGCAAAAAATGATGTGATAGTATATATTTAAGTGTATTGGTTTCAAATGAATGTACTATCCTCAAACAGGTAAGAGCTGCTTCCTTGTTCTCAATTGGCTTTCAAGACAGTGAACATATATAGTCCCAAAAGACATAGATTGGAATATATCCCATTTTTAAAAATTCACAAACTTATATTTTTTGCTGTTTTTTTTTAACTCCATAAAGCACACGAGGGATTTTGTAGGTTGATTAATTTTACTTTTCAAGTGGTAAAGCTGAGATTTTAGAGGGTATTTGTTAATTTCATAATATCTCAAAGATGACAACTTCTGTGTCAGACTACATTGTTTTTTCTCAGGCACGTGGTCCTTTGACATGTGGCTCTAACTCAGATATCCCTTTTTTCTAATATATCTATTTTTTCCTTTCTTTATGATTCATGGGTACTTCTGCTCTGCAGGCACTTAAGTTCAGAATAAAGTCATTTTAGCTGAACCTTTCTTCTTTAGTACCATAATATATTAAGATTTTCTTTATTTAGAAACCTCAAATAACATGTCGCTTGTGTTTTATTAGTATTTATTAAAACCTAATATACATACCTTTTTTAAATTTTGATTATATACTTGGTAAACTTAATGCTTTCCTATTTCTGTGGTTATTGCTCTGCTACATTTCAATATGCTTAACAAATTACTTTAATTTGAAAATAATCTCTACATCCCTGGCACTAATATTTCTTTTAGTATAACATGATTTACTAAAATGTGTTTAGTGTAATTCATTATGCAATTTACATAGATGAATCATGTCTGTATTAGGTAAGTAGGAAATTGAACTACTTTTCTGAAATGAAATATTTTTAAATTTAGTATTTTAGGCAGCTTTCAATGGTTGCAAAGATTGTCTGTTTAGAAGACTTGTTTATCTGCTGTTTTGAGCTTTCCCTCTGAATTACTTGGTTTGTATCTTCTTGCTTTTTGGCTATATAATTCAACATTTTGAATTTATGTGTGACTGTGTGGCATTGACCAATTCTTTCTTTAGCAGAGCGCGCTTACTGTGTAAATAAATTTGTGTAATGGGCTTGCAGTCTTTCAGGGTAAATATATTCTTCCTGGATACATGCTATAAGCCATGGTTCTGGGAACTTCTTTAACAACTCCTTTTTCCCCTTCTATTCTTTTAGGATTTTCCTGTTGAACTGGCCATAATTGGAATAGCTTTACTACTTCTACAGACTCCAGCATGTCAGCAGAAGCCACTCTTAAATCTAGGTAAATAAAAATACAGTCACTAGAGTAAAATGTAAATATAACATGAGTATTGACAGGAGGCTTGAACTATGTATCATGCTATTCTGTGTATTTCAAGTTTCCATCTGTAATTTTTCTACTCATTAAAAAATAGTTTTTTTCCTTGCCTAATAAGATGTTACCTTGTGCAAGGTTTAATATAACGTAATTTACCAAGTATCTTGGCTGCGTGTTAGGAGGTTATAATCTAACCTTATATAGCAGTAACGTTCAGGAATGTATTGAATGGCATATCAGCTTATTCAACATTGTTCCTCAAAATGAAAAACATTAGTATAAAATCTTTGAAAGAAAAGTATTTGGTAGTTGTAGTTATATTTAAAACTCTATCACTTTATTATTCAAAATGTCGTACATTGAACAGAGTTTAACTTACAGTTATTGTATGAATCTAGCTTGAACAAATGAAAGATAATATTCTTTTGACAGTCCAGTATTGATTGAAAAAAAAGTGAAGGTGGGGGCTAAGGGAGGCAAAAATGTTCTACTTAAGAAGAATGTAGTAAAGAAGCTAGTTGCCCTATCTGGCAGACTGGCAAACAAGTCATACTTTTAAAATGAGGCTTTTACATTGGTGTTGCCTTGCTTTGCTTAGTTTGAGACAAAATAATACACATAACAATGAGAGATCTAAATTATGTTGTATAGTGCCATGATATGTTGATAAACTGCCATTGTTATTTTAAAAAAGTGTGTGAGAGGCTGGGAGCAGTGATTCATGCCTGTAATCCCAGCATTTTGGGAGGCCGAGGTGGGCAGATCACCTGAGGTTGTGAGTTTAAGACCAGCCTAGCTAACATGGTGAAACCCTGTTTCTACTAAAAATACAAAAAATTAGCTGGACATGGTGGTGCGAGCCTGGAATCTGAGCTACTTGAGAGGCTGAGGCAGGAGAATTGCTTGAATGTGAGATGTGGAGGTTTCAGTGAGCTATGATTGCATCATTGCATTCCAGCCTGGGCAACAAGAGTGAAACTCTGTCTCAAAAAAGTGCATGAGATAGCTTATTCTTCTGGAATAAAATTATATTCCAAAATTTTAATTCATTATTTTGGAAGTGAATTGCTCTTTCACTTACAGCATGTCTTGGAAATGGCTTTAGCACGTGGAGGGTATCTCTGGCTCCTAGGCTTTATTTTGTACCCTGCTTTTGGTTATTGGCGTATGTTCACTTACTCCCTCCCTCCCCAGTCTAATCTGTTTTTGCCTTTTATTTTCTTATAGCAGTGCACATGGAATCTTCCCATTTACCAGTGCTGCTGCTTCTGACAGCTATAGTTTTATTTTTTAAAATAGCTTTATTGAGGTGTAATTTATGTAGCATAAATTTCAGAGTAAAATGTTTTCCATTAAATTTACAGATTTGTACAACAAGCACCACAGTCTAGTTTTAGAACATTTCAGTCATCTGCCCAAAATTTCTTGTGACCATTAGTAGTTAATCCTCATTTTCGCCTTCAGTCCCAGACAAACACTAATCTGCTTTTTGTCTCTGTAGACTTGTCTTTTCTAGACATTTTATTTAAATGGATTTTAATAGTTTTTTTGACAAAAAAATTCTGAAGCCTCGGAGAAGTCACATTTCAAATTCTGAAGCTGTGTTTTTATATTGTTGTCCATATATAAGAGAAAGACAATACAGGATCAAATACACAAATACTTTTGTTATCTGCTGGTTATCAGACGTTTTCTTTCTCTTGTAAACCAGTGTCTCTGATTTGCACTTACTTTAGAGTGAATAAACCATACTGGAAACTGCTGAGTCAATATGTCATGTTGGAAAGTAAGGAAGAACTGTTGTTTATTATATGGGGAAAGAGATTCAAAGAAATAGGATAACCAAGAGAATATTGATTATTCCAGATATAAAAGATTAATATATATGTTAATTTTTATGTTAATGTATTACACTATATAATTGTTAACTGTAGCCTTGATTACCAATAGCAGTTTATAAAACTACCTGGAATATTTAGATTTATACTATACGTTATTAACATATTTGTATTATATTTATTTCCTGTTTTATTAAAGATAATGGATTTTTATAGTGTCTCAGAAACAATTATGGATTAAGACCGATATTTAGGCAAGAAAAGTAAATTAGTAGTGTTAGAGTAACAGGTGTTTGTACTTGGTATCATGTTAAGGTTTGACCTCCAGTTGATATAAAAAAAAAAGTGCTGACAACTCATTGACTTGATTCAAGGCTTATAGGATTATATTTGATGTAGTGGGAAATCAACTGAATATTTTTACAATTTAACTTCAAGGCCCATGAATAACATCGTTTAGTAAGTTGGGGTTAATTAAATCACTTTGAAAAAACATTGTGAAAAAAGTAGATTTATGCCGTAACTCATTCAGTTAATAGTCCAGAGACTCTACATGTAACTACATTACTGTATATCTGTATGTATCTGTTCCATAAGTTGTTTCTATGTTAAAGAGTCATTTAGTAAGTTTTTTTTTTGTTGTTATTATTTTGGTTCTGAACTTTGGGACTTTCACAATTGGCTTATTACAGCTGAAGGGCAATCCTGCTTCACTTTGCTGTTTACTTAAGTATCTGCTAATATGATTCATAGCTGCCTTTGTAAAGGAAGTATGTACATTGACCTTGTTATCCACTGATCCAGTTATTCTTGGTCTCTTAGCTCTGTTTGCCGAGGGCAATACTAGCATCTCAGAAGATATTAAGGACGAATGTTGAATTGTGTTTAAAAAAAAATTCGTATAGATCTAAAAAATAGTTGATTATTACCTTATATTATGACTTTTCTGTAACAGTATCATCAGTTTTTCAGTTACATACATTAACAACTTATTTTACATAATAGTTTCTTTATAACCCTTTTAGGATAAGATTTATCATCCTAGTTATGTGTCTGACCCAGTTGTAAAAGGGAAGAAAATTTTTTGGCATATCACTCTTAAGCAAAATTGCGTTTTGGTTGGCTGAATTTTTAAAAATGTGAATTATTATTTTGATGTATAGCTTTGGAGCTCCTCTCTGTTACTGAGGATCAGAAAATCCCAAAGTCCTCTCTGCTGCTAGTGATGCCAATTCTGCAGATACTATCTTCTACTGCCTTGGAAGACTGTATATCTATGAATGAAGAAGGTCCCTCTAGGCAGCAGTTGGCTCTAAACCTCTTAGAAATGATACAGCAGGAATGTTACAGAGACGACCACCCAAAGGTAATGAATCTATCCTTGTTTCTCTTAAATAAAATGTCGATGGGGGATTTAGGTCTCTACCAATAATATTGCCTCCCAATGAAGCATCTGTTTGTAATCAGACTACCATTCAGTCAGGTATCTGGACTATAAAAGGGACAGTAGTCTTGTGAAATAAGTTTTGGAAATGGTATTTGATCTTTTTTCTCAGATAATCCAGTGCACAATACTAAAGATCCTGATGGATTCTGCAGAAAAGGAACTAATTGTATTTAAACCTAATGCTTCTCTAACATATTTGAACATGGATCTATTTTATAATAATTAGAACATGGATCTGTTTTATATAATGTTTAAAAATTATATTGTTAAGTACAGCATATTGCTAGATCTGGGATAATCCAAGGTGGGAAATAGTCCTCAAATATCTGGAAATTCTGATGTCAGTAAGAACTAAAACTTCATTATTTAATATGGCACCTCTTGCCATATTCCCTGGCATAATAGTTCTCGGTGTCCCCTGTGTATGACGCTCTTCTGCTGCCTTCAACTGGAAGACAACAGGCCTGCCACATTCCTTTACCAGTCCCGCCTGCCTCATTCTACCTTTTCAGTCTCACTTTTCCTGTTACAATAATGTAAAAGTGTTGTCATGGTTTGGATAGTGGTTGGGTTCTAAAGCCTCGATTTTCCAGACTTTTTTTCTTTTGATATCTGAGTTTTGCCTTTATCAAAATGTAGCATTACTTCCCAACTCCTTTTATGGGGTTGGAATCAGTATTGAATAAGATAAAGCTGGCAAAGCATCTTAAATCTCCATGAAGAGAGGCACATGTAAATAGAAACTAGAGCGATTGTGGCTTCATCTGCAAAAGCAGAGATACCTATTATGTTAAATGCTCTAGCAGCACAAATCCACTCATTATTATTTCTTGTTTGAGCATGTAGCAGAAACTGGCCCATAATTACAGGCAAATTGAATGTATACTACAGCTTCCTAAATCCTAATTGTTTGACTAAAACGCTAAAAGTTGTAGCAGGTAATTGATTTGAATTAAATTGGGTTGTTGTATCAGCTGTAATAGGAGCACAAAATCTGGTGAAAAAATTCTAGTAGCTTTTTAACTTTACCTCTCGGTTTGCCCATATAGAAGACTGATTGGATCTTGGATGGGAGTGGGGGCAGGGCAAGAGTTCTGTTCCTTTAAATCACAACTGTTATTTACTGAGGGTCACTCCAACTCTAATACATAAGTACTTGGCTTGCTGTTTGCTCAGATGTGTGTGAATCTTACTCATCAACACTAATACCTGGACTTTCTTTTTAGCAGCTGGTGAAGGGGAGGGGCAAAAGTACTGTTAAGGCTATAAATAGCCTCCTTATGATACTGTGCTGCTTTAAGGAGGCTTTGAGTAGATATATGATCACGCTTTTAAAAAATTTAAGCCATGTTTTACTGTTGGCTTTTTTCCTGGACCTGTCTGGAACTTTACATTCCAAACACGCCTACGAATTTAATATGCCCCAAACTCTTCAAGTCTCTTCATGAACATTTGCTTTTGCACAGAATGCCCTTTTATGTCATCTGCCTGAACTACTCATTCTTCAGAACTCAGTCAAATGTTCTCAGCTTCCCCAGGTCAAGATTATTTGAGTATTGGAATTTTTTTTTTTGAGACAGAGTCTCGCTCTGTCACGCAGGCTGGAGTGCAGTGGTGTGATCTTGGGTATAAAATGTGATACTTAAAACTTACCTATTGGATTCTCTCTAGGCAAAATAAATAAGTAAATATTTTTTTAAAAAATCGAACACTAGTTGTAAATTCTAAAGGGTTTGAAACATTATGCTTCCTCCTTGCCCCCTCCCCTCCCACACAAGAATGTAGGGGATAAAAGAGAGAATGCATCAGTGTATGAGTCAGATTCCAGTCAGGAAAGAGAAAACACACTGGTAATTTGAAGAAGGAAAACTTAATGCAAAGAATTGTTAGTAAGAGGTGTTTAGTTTCAAAACTTTATAAAAAAAAAATCTAAGGAATATTACAGCAGTAAATGTAGGGAGCTGCTACTACCTCTAAGCTAAGACCAAGGCAGAGTTCCCAAGGAAGAAACTAAAAGGGGGTCTCCCCAGACAATGCTGAGAGTCAGACCTGGGAGGAGAGAATGTGAAGGCCTCTTAGATGATGTTATTTGCTGGGGTGCCACAGGCTGGAACTGGTCCATTGGAAACCACTTGACATGGTGTGAGCCAGCTGGAATTGGCTGAGCTGGTCCACCGGAAGCCACCACTGGAGTATCCTGCATGTCCCTAGCAGTCATGGTAGGAGAAATCAAAGAAGCACACAGGAACCTCAAGAGAAGCCCTTTCTACCATTCCTTGCAGGGTCTTTCCTGTGCTTTCCATTGACAAGGTCTAACATTAGACCAGAGGGCAAAGGAGAAATGTTGAAAAGGCGCAGATGTAGGATCACATAGATAAAAAAGGGTGGATGTGGACTAGAGAGGTAACACATTGAATACCTGGCTTAGGAAGTAGACAGAATCAGAAAAGTTTTTTTGGAGGGGAGTAAGGGTGGATGGGTGAGATGAAGTGGAAAAGGAGACTTAAAAGCTAAATTCTTGTAATTGTACAGGAGGGCAGAATTTATCTCTATAAAACTGTTTTAGTCAGCAGAATGATTTAGAGACAGCTTGACTGAGCTAAGGTCTACCATGTGTTTATTCATTCTATGTGTGTTTTTAAAAATTAAATATGATACTTTTGGGTCTCTGGTAATAAAGTTGTGCCAAGTATATTTTATTTGAAATTGCTTTGAAGTAGTATATAGTAAGCAGAATATTTGTTTCCTGAAAATAATAAAATTTGCAAGGAATTGTCGTCCTACTTATAGCTAAAGTTAACATTTATTGAACACGTGTGGTATGTCAGGAGTTACTATGTGGGCCAACTCCTGTTTCTTACAAAAACTATAAAATAGGCGTTGTTTCTTTTCTCCTCTCCCACTCCCTCTCTCCCCTCTCCCACTCCCCCTCTCCCACTCCCTCTTCCCCCCTCCCCTGGCCCCTCTTCCCCCTCCCCCCTCTCCCTCCTCTCTCCTCTCCTCCCTCTCTCCTCTTCTCCCTCTCTTCTCTCCTCTCTTTCTCCTCTCTCCTCTCTTTCTCCTCTCTCCCCTCTCTCCTCTCCCTCTCTCTCTCTCCTCTCTCACCTCTCTCTTTCCTCCCTCTCCCTCTCCCTCCCTCTTTTCCTCCCCTTCTCCTCCTCCTCCCCTCCCCCCTCTCCCCACCCCCTCTCCCATCTCCCCCTCTCTTCCCCTCCGCTCTTCCCCCTCTTCCCCCTCTCCCCCCTCTCCCCCTCTCCTCCTCCTCCCCCTCTCCCACATCTCCCCATCTCCCCCTCCCCCTCTCCCCCTCTCCCCCTCTCCCCTCTTTGTTTCTCTCACTCCTCTCTCTCACTCTCTATTCTTTCTTTCTTATTTCTGGCTGCGTGGCCTTGGACTAGTGACTGAATCTATCTGGTATCTGGGGCCTGGTGAAATGGGTAACCAAACACCACCTACATCAGGTTGTTTATTGAGCACTTTATATATGCAGGCTTCATTTTAAGTACTTTAGTATATATTAACTAATTTGAATTTATCCCACACTCTTTGAAGTAGTTACAATTGTTGTTCTCATTTTACTTAAGAGTTAACTGAGGCATAAAGAAGGTAAATAACTTACTGTTGTGCAGTGGGAACCCAATTATTTTTTAGTAGCTTTATTGAAATGTAATTCCCATATGCACTTCACTCATTTAAAGTGTACAATTCGATAGCTTTTCATATATTCACAGCATCATATATTCATCACCACAATCAACTTTAGAACATTTTTATTACCTAAAAACCCCCTGCACTTGTAGTCATCACTCCCTAATTCCCCTGTTTCTTCCTCACCCCTCAGGCTAGGCAATCTATAATCTATTTGCTGTCTCTCTAGGGATTTGCCTATTCTGGGCATTTCCTTCAAATATAATCTTACAATATTTGGTCCTTTGTGACTGGCTTTTTTTCACTTAGTATAATGTTTTCAAGGTTTGTCCATGTTGTAGCGTGTACCATGTAGCAGTGCCTCATTTTCTCTTAGGGCTAATAGTCCTTTGCATGGATACCTTACATTTTATTTTCCTGTTCTTTTGTTGATGAATTTTTGGCTCTTTTCCACTTTTTGGCTATTACGAATAATGCTGCTATAACCATTAATATATCCATTTTTGTGTGGACAAATGTCTTCATTTCTCTTGAGTAGCTGCTAAGGAGTAGAATTGCTAGATTAGATGATTACTCTATGTTTCACTGTTTGGGGGAATGGCCAGATTGTTTTCCAAAGGGGCTGCACTATTACACATTCCCACCAGCAGTGTATGAGGGTTCCAATTTCTTCCCCTCCTCTCCAACTGTTGTTATTGTCTGTCTTTTTGATTTAGCCATCCTAGTGTGTGTGAAGTGATATTTCACTGTGGTTTTGTTTTGCACTTCCCTGATGGTATTCTTAAAATACTTGTTTTACAAGCTAGGAAACTGAGATGAGAGAGGTTAACTTGTCTGTATTACACAGGTAGTAAAGGGTAGAGTTGGAGTTCAGATTTTGACTGTTTGATTTTAGAGCCTGTGTCCTGTTACCTGCACTTTAATTTTGTTTTCTTTGTTTTTTTGGCACAGTATTTTCTCATCTTTGTGCTGAACTTGGGAATAAATAACAGTTCCATTTCAGATTTACTGGGAAACAAACTGTGAATTAATGGTAAATTGAAACAAACTTTTTTTATAGGCTTCTGGTAGAAACTTAACAAAGGAATTAGGCAGTCTTAGATGTTGTGCTTCTATCATCATCTGAAAGACTTGGGACTGAGGATGGCGTGTGTTGCCGCTTGATTATAATCAGCCACTCCCAAGTCTCTCAACTCTTGTGTAGAGTCTTCATAGAGGTACAGAGCTAGAAAGGCTCTCTTGAGGCTTTATGTAGTCCAGTCTTCTGCTTGTCTGGTGAGAGATTAATATCCTCTAGCAAAAATCTATCTTCCTTTCAACGGTCTGTAAGTTTGAGTTCCCATACCTGCTCTCTAGTTTTGTTAAGTCTGTTTTAGTCATATTACAGATTAATGCCATTCTTTACGGTTAATGAAAATCAATATTGTTCACAATTTCTTTTTCAGATCTGTTTTGACAAAGAAGTACTATCAGATGTCTCTCTTACTGTTACTACTTAATGTATCTGAACATTTTTATTAAATGCTTTTAAAAATAAAGATTCTTGATTACTTATAAAAGATGTTTTACAACCACCCAGTATTTATTTAAATGTATTTTCCTATGTTTTTTAAAAAAATTTTTTGATACCTAATTCACATAACATAAACCTTTTATTTTTAAACACCTACTTTCTTCTCTAAAGGACAAAGCTTACAAGCACTTTCACAGGCCCTCCCTGAGGCTATGGGGCCAGGATTTGGTAGCTGGTGCTGAGAAAAAAAACCTTTGATTGTATCCTTGCCCTGGGACTGTGCCAGTGGCAGCTGTCACTCAATGGGACAATTTCTCCTGCTGCTCTAACCTTAGGCAAACAGATAAATAAAAATAAGAGCCTAAACCTGGATATAACAGATCAATTAACCTAGGATTGCTTTCTGTTTTATTGTTTACTCTTACATGTCTCTGTTATGTTGTTGCTTTTACTCAACTTGTGGTTCATGGTAATTCCAAATTACACTCATATTCATGAGTTTTATTGTTCTCTCCTGAAGATGACAGTAATACTGTTTCCTTGTATTTTGTAACTTAAGGCACTGTACTATGTGTTTTATAGATATTATCTTATTATGTACTCAATAACCTAGGCAGGAAGGTAGTCATTACTTACATTTTACAAGTGAGTAAAGTAAGGCTTAGAAAAATTGCATAATGGCTGATAGCTGGCATGGCTGTGCGGAAGTCCTGGTCTTTTCTGATTTATGCTGTTTGTCATTAGTCTAAAAAACTTGGCCATGGTTGTTAATGAATTCTATCTTCTTGGGAAGAAAAATATTATTAGAGAGCTAGAGCTATATAAACTTAGATCTTACTTAATTTTTAAAATTTGTAATTTTCTTGAAATAGTGATACATTCCAATGGTTCAGACAGTATTAAGTTGGATATAATGCATGCTTCCTTCTTGCCCTTGATTTTAGCAGTCTAGTTCTCACTCTCCAAAGCAGACGATGATTTAATGGTTACTAATTTCTTCTGTATTTCTCCACATACTTTTCTTTGCATATACAGGCAACTACAAATATATTGTCTTTTTTCCTTCAACCTCTTTGAAACAGAAGAATTGGTAGCATTCTAGTCACACTATCTGTATGTTATATTTTCACTTGGGGGAATCTTCATGTCTGTACAGTGAGAGCTTCCTCATTTGTTTTTACTGTGGCATTTAATTGTCAAATTTTTATCTACTCTTAGGTATATACTCAAGAAAACTGAACACTTAAAACCTCACAAAAACTTTTACAGGAGTGTTCATAGCATCATCATTTATTATGGCCCCAAAGTGGAAGCACCCCAGTTATCCATCAACAGAAATTTGGATAAACAAAATATGGTATATCCATACAATAGAATGTTATTTGGCAGTAAAAATAAATGAATTGTTGATAAAAGTTACAATGTGGATGAACCTTGAAAACATGCTGAGTGAAAGAAGCCCGTCACAAAGGACCACATATTAGGTGTTTCCAATTATATGAAATGGCCAGTATGGAACCGAAGTGGATTAGTGATAGCCAAGGCTGGAGGTGGGGGAGTAAGGAGTGACTATAAATGGGTATGGGATTTTTGTTTGTGCTGATGAAAATGTTCTAAAAGTAGATAGTGATGATAGTGATAATGGTTACACAACTCTAGGAATGAATTAATAAAATCCAATAAGTTATAAACCTTAAAACGGTGCATTTTATATTATGGAAATTATATCTCAAAGCTGTTATGTAAAAATTTTATAAAGCTTAACTTGTACTTTCCATCCTTTCAATTGTTATCCTAATTTATATAAGTCAGCCTCTATTAACCAGAAAGTTATAATCTAGAGATTTCTAATCTGTCATAAAGCACTCTACATGATTTGAATTACTTTATTAGCAAGCAATGTCTAATGATTCTTTAATGTCTATGACCTCCTGAGCTGTTTATTTACAGAGCTCAGCTTGGCTACCCTTTGGCCCTGACTGCATTATTTTATTTCTTTGAGGAGCCATTTCTCAGATTAACTTAGCCTAATGTCATTTCTGGGTATTATTTCAGTTAAGAGCTGTCAGGCTATTTCTTATTGCGGAAGTTACAATTATTAATGAATTCTCAGGCTCCAGCTGAACTAACTTTGATCCTATCAACATGCGATCTGTTACAGAAATGAATTGTCTTCAGTCCAAGTCTGCCATCTGCCCTAGATTGCTTCTGCTTAGGGCCTGGAGATGGGCAAATAAAGTATTTTTTTCTATCTCTTTCTTCTCATTGGTGAATACTTTTTTAGTGAGAGTAGCTTTTTCCAAACTCAGTTGCCCTCTGCATCTTGTATATTGATTCCTATTTTCCGCCTTAATGGGGAATGAATGGTAACTATTAGGAAAAGTTGTGATAAAACTCTTCTAGAGTTCCATCTAACAACTCTTTTCTATGTGTAATCCTATTACCTCAAATATGTGCAGAATGGATTTTGGCAGTAATTCAATTTGTATTTATTTTTTTGGAAGGAGTGATATCTTACAATGAAATATAAGATTGCCAGAAATGTGTTTCTGACACATATATTTATCTCACTTATTTATTCCTCTCTTGTCTTTATTTTTCAGCTCTCCTACAAGCTTGTGTGCCCTGTAACCAGTATGTATGGTTCAATATTTACAACCTGGAGGATTCTTGAAGTAATGAGAGATGTGTCTGCTGCAAGGGACTGGTTGGCTTCAGTAGAGTCCTTGCTTCCAATTACTACTGTGATGCCTGTACCTGCTTTTCTTCTGCTGGCTCACCTCCTTGTTGAAGACAAAGGACAAAATCTTCACCAAATACTGAATGTCACTACAGAATTAGCCCAAGCAGATTCGTCCCAGGTAAAGCAAGAGAATAATGAAACAGTAATGAGAAGAAAGCTTAATTATTGGAATTGTAGCATATTCCTGTTTTGTGGGCATGAAAGTTTTAAATTATGGGTTGATGGTGATTTTTTTTTTTTTTTGCTATCTTTATCCTTCCAATTTGTTCTTCTTTTTCCTGACTCTGAGTTGTTGTATGCTTAATGATGCAAACGTTTTTTAAATGAAAGCACACTTCTCAAGGAAATCTGCACATGGTGCTATTCTGGTTCTTCCAGTTTTTTAGTGGTTTTTGCTATTTTGTAATGCTTTTGCTAACTCTTGGAACGTATTCCAAGATACATATCCATTAGTTCTAGTGTTGATCATTTAAAGCGGACCCAGATTAATCAACTCAGAATAAAGGAGCCTGTACAATAGACATTAATATCTTTTGAACTTCTTGCAGTTTGATACTATCTTTATTGAGTCATTTAATAAGCTAAAAAATATTGACTCTTTGCTATGTGTGGTACAGATCTGCATGCTAGGATGTGAGGCTAAACAATTTTTCTTTCTATCTGCACAGAACTTAAGAGTGTAATGAGAAAGCATTCAGGCATTAATAAGTCTTTTTTTTCCCCCCGTCCTTTTATACTAACCACATATTTAGCATAATAATCTGTGACTTTTTTTCCTCCAATTGATGGAATCTCTTGAATGCATTTCCTATAAAGGAAAGGTTTTCTAACCAGGTAGATTTGATGTTTTGTTATCCTCTGTTTATGAGTATCTATATTTGTATTTCTTTTCAAGAATGATGAAGAAACCTTCCATCTCCCAATGGAAAAGTGATGTGTTCCTAGAGGAAAAAATTTGGTGGTAGAAAAGGGGCAAATGTGTTTGAGAAATGAAGTTATCTGAGTACAGTGACTTATGCTTGTAAACCCAGCAGTTTTGGAGGCTGAGGTGGGTGAATCACTTGAAGTCAAGAGTTTAAGACCAGCCTGGCCAACATGGCAAAACCTTGTCTCAACTAAAATCCAAAAATGAGTTGGGTGCAGTGATGCACACTACAATCCCAGCTACTCGGGAGACTGAGGCAGGAGAATTGCTTGAACCTGGGAGGTGGAGGTTGCAGTGAGCCAAGATCATGCCACTGCACTTTTGCCTTGGACTCTGTCACAAAAGGAAAAAAAAAAGATATGAAGTTAATGTATTTGGAATTCCTTTTTAACCTCAAATTGTCATAGTCATTCCTTTTTGTCATGTAAACAACTGCAGATATCTCACAAAAAGTTTTCACTCTAACTAGACGTCATCTGTCCTGATTCTGCAAGTGGATCTGTAATGTACTCAAAATACTTTGATTTCATTGTGTCTACATAATGTGAATCAGTTCAGCTTGCTTTCTGCTTTATCTGTTGTTATATTTTCTGTAGTAATTGTACTTCTAACCAATGTATTCTTTCAATGTTGACACCTGGTAGGATGATCTCTAGATAGTTAATGCAGATAATGCCTGGAGATTATCTAAAGAAGGATTCCCTTGAAGTTATACAGTGGGTTAGCTTGATATGTCTATACCACTGATCTGAAACATATATTGCATCTGTCTATATGTACACACACATGCACACACAGGAAATTTGATCTAGTGTGATACTTTGGATTATAACAGAAATCCATCTTAAGCTTCTATAAACAGTTTTTCCCCTTTATTTTTAGTTGACACTTAATTGTACATAGTTGTGGGATGCAGAGTGATATTTTGATATATGTATAAAATGTTCAGTGATCAAATTGGAGTAATAGTGTATCCATCACCTCAAACATTATCATTTTTGTGTGTGCATGTTGGGAACATTCAAAATCCTTTCTAATTTTTAATAGCTCTGGTATTTAGGACATTCCTGGTCTGGACAGTGTTTTCAAGGTACAATTTATTTTCTCTGTGAATTAGCAGGAAGACCAAAGCCTTATAATCTTATATTCAGAATTCGAAAGGAAAGAGAGAAGTTAAGAAAGCTCAGATTGGCCTTGCTTAGGTCATGCGTCCACATTGGATCAACCATCACGATGGGATAATGGGGCACTTTACTTGGCCATCCTGGGTAGAATAGAAGTAGGTGAAGTATCAGGCCCTAAAACTGGTTTCTGCCACTAGATTCATGTGGAATGGGGTGAGATGGTTCTGAAAAGGAAGAATAGATACTGTCCTGGTTGGAGAAGTGAGAATGTGCTAAACAGGTAAGAAATATAAAGCAGAACTTTTCAGTCTGTCTTTTGGGGGACACCGAAATGCTGTATATGGGGTAGGTGTGCCGAGATAGTAATATCCTCTCTCAGCGTTCTGGCAGCCAGCTAGTTGTCTTGGCTCAGGCTGCCTGAAGTCTCTGGCCACCTGGTGTGTAGAGAGTTATTTGGTGTTTAATAGTATCTTATAATTACTTGTAGAGGGAATACCTAACAAAAGATGATATTTTTTTGGAAATGAAGGAAACTTTTTTGTGGTTTTAAGACCTGAGAAAATGTGTTTTCCTCCTATGTTTCTATCCATAAGGTTTAAGGGTTTATGGCAAGGTTAAATACTTAGGTATCTGAACTGAACATTAACCACAAAGATTAGTAATTTGTAGATAGGTCGAATGGGTCTAAAATAAAAGTGTAAATAGTTTAGTATGTCACTTTCAATGGAATAACTCTAAATACTATGTATAAGGTGTATCAATTTATTTTTGACTGATTTATAAAATAGAATATGCCAGAGAGCAAAAGCTCATAAATTTGAGTTTAGAGATCCACAGGTTCCTTCCCTAAAACCTATCCCCAATGATGAGCTTATTAACAATTTGAGTTTTGCAACGCTCAGAGCGTTTATCAAACTCTTGTTATGTGCTGCTTTTCTCCTGTTTGGCAGTGGGAATAGAGTCATGTTTATTTGCTTTGCTTTGCTTTTACTAGCATCTTACAACACCGAGGTATTTTATTTTCTTTTTACATTTTGGTTATTAAGTCTAGTTAAAGGTCTTGCTTAATAGGGACAATTGCAATCTTCAATTATTTTATTCTTTGTGATATTTTCAGAGCTTCAGTTTTTTCCCATGTGTAAAAATGTACACATTTAAGCCATTTGAAATCACTGAAATAGGTTCATGGCCCATGACTTGCTGGTCTTTAAAAAGTCATATATTTTCAAATAGTAAAAGTTGAGTTACAGGGCAGAATCCTGTGATAGTTCTACTCAGGGTCAGAAGCCATATTTTAACATGGAAAATGAATAGGAAATGTGTGAAATTTAATGGTCTGTAAGTTACTGCTGTGAGAAAAAGAGAAAATATATTCTATAAAAGAACTTGCACAAAGAGTCTTTGGGCACTTTATACTCTGCTCTGTTGTTACTGAATTCTATGAATTGCTACCCCCTGAAGTCAGTCGGCTTCCTGTGTTCTCCACACCAGCAAAAAGAAGCCAGAATGTACAGTACTTTTAATAAAGAGTTTATAGATAAGAAGTAGTGTACTACTATTCCCCGGTAGCCATGGCTTCGATTATGCCTGGAGAAAAATTGGGATGAGTCTGCCAGCATGAAGCAATTAGACGAAGAGAAACACAACCGAAATGCAAGGTCAAGTTGCACGTACCCCATCCTGTGGCAGTATGTTTATTTCTTCTTTATAAACCTTACATATATATCTGTAAGATAAAAAGCTTTCAACTGGCATTTGAACCCTTGGGTGTTTTCGTGGTTGTGTGAAAAAGCCTAGAGTTTATACACAGGGAAGTAGTTCTGTGTTAATTTCCTGGTACTCCTGGGTACTAATGTTGGACTGTTACTTCTGATCAGTCTACAGATTCGAAATTACTTAAAATTCTCAGAATTGTTTTAACTTTTCAGCTCAAACCCTGCCACTGTGATAGTTACTCATGTACTGCAACAAAATCCATTTGTCTGGGCGTGTCACTGAACACCGAACATCAGAAAGGATGAGGTGGAGTTTGAGAAGAAGGGGTCCAAAACTGCATTCAGAACAGTGGAGTCTATTTGCTTTCAAATGATATCAGGGACCAGTAGGTTTGCTTCTGGCTACAACTCACTAAGGGATGGGATCCTAGTGATGTTGAAGAGCTGTGAAACGGGAATCAAAACAGACTGTGGTAATTGAATTTCATAATAGGTAGGAGGAATTTTGCTCAAGGGAAAATTCATTGAAGCCCACTATTGCCAGAACAAAATTTTTCTTATTTATTTAGCGGAGCGGAAAGGGCGAAGTGGGGATTGGTCCTCTACATTCTTGTGTCATGCATGGCCAGACAACCTGTAGTGGAGCAGCAAGTTGACATGCCTCATTATTCATCAGCCCTTCTCTACAGTCAGCCCTTCACATAAAAGGACAGTCTTATTCAAAGAAACATTTATTTATATCTCTTGGATTAAACTATGCTAGCTCCCTGCAACCACCTTGGCCTTGATTCATTAATATAAATGAATAGTTAAGGCTCACCAGACTTATGAGAAAATTTAACAATGTGACTAACCAGAGCATCTGTCTCTAGAAGTAAGAAAACTTAGGGAGCAGGAGGTAATATAAAAACAATTGATGTCCTAAGATATGTTGCAAAGATACTGTATATATGTTTTTGTATTGTATATAAACATCCTACTGTGAGAAAGAAGAAATTTGAAAGCAAGAGGTTTTAGAAACTAAAAATGTGATTGCCACAGTATATACATGGAGATTAAATTAGTGATTTGTAAAATATTCAACTAAATATTTCATAATATAAAGCAAAAAGATGAAAGTGGTAAAAAGTGAAGACATGGAGGGTCCAGTTAGTGTTCTAACAACTTTGTAATAGGAATTCTGGGGTGAAAGGAACAGAGAAAATGAAGGACAGAAACTTAAAACATGGGAGAAAACTCTTTCCCTGAGCTGAAAAAGGACACAAAGCTTCAGATTGTTAGTATCCTCTGAAAGCTAAGCAGCACAAATGATAATTTATCAATATCTAAACATGTTTCCAGACCCTCAAGGATA